ACGCAAGGGGGAAGATTAATAATGAATGGAGTTGCGCGGCAGGGCCTACTGGTGGTTAATGATAAAGTTCCCTTTTTTTCGCTAGAGCTGCATTAGCGAATTTCCCGGTTTAATTAGGGTTTGGATTAGCACGTTTGCGCGGATTAGCTTCAACTACTATTGCGCCGAGGAGATCATTAAGCACCAGGATTAAACACCGTGTGCCGTCTCTAATGCTCACGGCGCAGCCTCTCGATTGTAATACAACGCGAGCACATCCGCCTATCATCGCGTATGCAAATCTGCCTGCATATGACATGCCTGATACGATTATCGAGAGCGAGGATTCTGGATCACAAGGAATCGAATTATGCGCTTCGATGCGCGCTATAATTGATATGCAATTGATTTGCGCGCACGGGAAACCGCGTCGGCGCGAGAAGAAGATAAATAATTGCCGCGATTGCAAATCTATCGAAATTGCGAAGTGTAAGAGTGTACAAATGTACAAATCTACGCGATTGGGTCGGTTTCGCGATTAAACTGCCGATACCGGAATACCGCATAACACGGAGCGAGTCGGACAGTGGTAAATAATGCATCTCAACTATTGTTCTCGAGTACTCGAGTGTCCGAATTACACTCGGCGAATAATGAAAATGTCGCGCCACCCCGCGGTATTCCAATGTAAAGGGAATTCCCTCGCGGTTGTGCATCCGTTTACCTGTGAATCCTTGAGACCCAGTTTCTCGGCGAGCTTCTTGCGATCCGGCTTGCTGATGTACTTTTGTATCTGGAACCTCTTCTCGAGTCCGCGTCGCTGGAGATCCGAGAACACGGCTCTTCTCATCATCCCCCGGCGTGGCTTACCGCGCGCGTTCGTCGCCCATGGAAAGACCAGGCCGGTCCCGGAAAAGTCGCCGATGCTGCCCTGGATGGTCCCAGGGAACACGGCGCCTCCACCGGGCGTGCCGGGATGATGGCTTCCGGTCCCGGAACCAGCAACTGTTGACAAGAAGTATAACGTTGCACACACACGTTTTATTAAATTTATTGTAGCATTTCGATGTCATTTGTACCTCGCGATCAATTTAGGAAGCTTGGAGGTGCGTAATGAAAAACGTATGTACAATATAGTCTACAATAAAGGAAAGAGAAAATATTCTCTCTTTACTAATTAACTTTGGAATAATTTAATCGAAATGTGGTACATCCAATATTCTCTTGACCACAAAAATCTCATTAATTTTAATTTTCATAACAAATCTCTTTTAAAGATTAAAAGCCCTAATCATACGTTTTATCTTAAGTAGAATAAAAACTTCTCCAATACATTTAAATGCCGTAGCTGTAACACAGCAAAATCGGTAAAAATAATTATTTTTTACGCTTTTGATCTTGCAATTAAATTGTTTTTCGAAGATTCCATTTGTACTCGGCACAGAAAATTGCTGATTATCGTATTTCTTGAGTTAGAAAACAAATGTATTTTTGTTAAACCACGTAATCGAAAAAAATAGAGGACATCTTATGAACGATGAAGACATTTACAAATTGAAGACATTTGAAAAGCATTTAAATGTTCTTTAAAACAAAGATCAGGTTTCTTCGTTCTGTACTCTTTGCTGCTTCTAGTCGGGAAATTTGAGAATCCGTTTCGCGACAAGACGTAAAGAATATCGAGTAAGAAAATGTGCGAAACGTGCGTGAAAAAAAAAAGAATCGTTCGAACATCGCGTTACTTGCGCGCGGGGCGGGACGCTTTGATTCGATAGCGATTGTATCAAAGTCATCTAATAACAGATCGGGCAATTGAATCTCCAGATCGTGTCTGCGCGATATTGCCAAGCTGAGCATGATGGTATTATCTGCACCGATGATATTTGCACGCACTTGTTGCATGCGTGCATTTTGCCTTGTGGCGGAGCATGTACATAATATGGTAGTGCTTTCACTGCACTTCATATGCACTCCATGTCCCATACGAGCCTACCTATAACAAGATATTCGATAAACCCGGCGTGTGTGCGCGGCCCCCGCGCACGTGGCCGCGCGCGCGCTCGTTGCCTGGCGCCATATGCGGAAGTTTCGGTTTTAAACGTTCGCCGGGCCCGTGTTTCCGCGTCTCTCGTCCGTCCGCGCTTGTTTATTAACTGCACGTGGAGTATCGCGACGACAAAATAGTGAATACGCGAAACTTGTGAATATCAATGTACAATGTACGTAATTTTTACATATAAATATACATCGAGATACGCGCGGGTGTACCGACTAAAAAAATATCTTGGTTGTTTCCAAGAAGCGGACGAGATGAGGACAGATAGTCCCGGTAGTAAATAAACCGCCCGCGACATCCGTAGCGAAAATATCGTTACGTTAAATGTCAGTAAAGTGCGATCAACTTTCAAAGTCCTTTTTCTTGAAAACAAGACCTTACTCGAAAAAAATTTATCGCATCACTTTGATTTATTTGGAGCCGTATCTTTTTCCCGGTTGTACCGCGTTATCGGCTCACTCTGTATAAAGTACAAATAAAGCTCTCAAAACTCTTGCGTGTCAGTGGCCGAGGATTTTATTAGAGTTTAAAGAATTTCATTATTTAGACACTAACATCCCGTCTTGGCTCTTAATTGCCTCCCACTTCGTATTTGCGTTTTCACAGTAGAGCCTTATGAATTTTATTAATTGTTAAAGACTTTTATTTTCTACATTTTGTATATTCGATTCCACTTTTAATGTTTCATATTTTGCGATCCCAAAAACCTCATAACACACGTTTTTATTAGAATATGATAAGAAATATTCTATTCTTCACATCCAACATTTTGAATTTTGATCTCACTTTCGTATTCAACGAGCCAAAAATGCTTGGAAAGAATTACACTAGATATACGCCTCTTCTCAAATAAGTAGACCGTGAAAGGGGTGAAAGCTGAACTTGTTATTTCACACTGTCCGCGTCACGTTCGTTCGCGTAATTATGCAAGTTTCTTACCTGTCAAATATGGACCCCTGTAGAACAGTTGTTGCAGTGTGTGATGGGCGTTCGGTGGTAAGTGTCGCTGAGGTGGTTGATGACTCGGCCTGTGATAAGGATGATAAGCCGCCGGCCTCGCGATCGGCTTGGCGATATTGTAACCCGCGGAATTTTGCAGATTTTGCAAGAAGGCGGGTATCGCTTCCGGCGGAAGTCCTTGAAAGTTATCTGCACAGACAAAAATATTTCGCGCTTTAGGATGGGTTCAATTCCGAAAAGTCACACTATTATCTGCCCCTCGTTCGTTTCTTCGTCCGGTACCACCGCGGATGGGTTTTGCAATATTTTAATTCGTTTCTGCAATGAAAACGGCGTGCAAAGGATGTGCGCAGTCGGTGTTACGTTATCGAGTATCTGGGTTATCCAATAAATTATGCACCGCGTGACTTCATCGACGGTACTCCGTAAAAAAATTATTCATACTAACTGACGCTGGGATAGGGCGACGTTTTCCGCGAAAGTTTCGATGCTTCCAGATATGGAGACGTAAACCGCCGAGCGATTAAATATGGAACGCGCCCCGGCTGTGTTTCACGGTGAAATGTGCCCGGGGTGGCGGATTTACGTGCGAGCGAATACCTAAGTCGCCGTATTCCTTCGTGTTGCATAATTCGGGCCGACACCCCCGAGACTAAAACCCTCCTTAACTGCTCCAGGCAGAGCCCGATCTCTTGCCGGCGCACGCTTCAACACCTCCGACCGGGGTAAATAGCCAGATATTCGTGCGACCGACTGCCTCGGATATCTCTCTTATACGTCGTAAAACGCAATGCAAAACCGTGTGGACGTTTCATTCGCTTGTGCGCGTTGCGCTCCTTAACACGCAATTTCGCTGAGAATTCATGGTTTTTGTAACAAAAATGATAGAAGCTCTGTTACTATTTATCAGGGTTGCGAAGTAACTCGTTACTTGTAACGAAGCTACAGTTACAGTTATCTTTTTTTTGTAGCTCTAACTTAACTTCGTTAGTTTGTCTCCATCTGCAACTGTGACTTAACTCAGTTATACTTTTTCGATAACTAGTAACTAATTTAGTAGTTACATTAATAGTTACTTTATATATTTTTTAAACCTCCACAGATTGCACTAGGCCTTGCATTACATTAATGCATAAACACCCTCATCGGCGCTTTACAATTCAAATGCAAATTAGATATTTTTATTTTCATTGCAAGAAAGTAACTGCAAAGTAACGATTCGTTACTTTTTAAATAACTCATGTAACTGTAACGTGTTACTTTTTGGAATTGGTAACTTGTAACTGTAACTAGTTACATTTGTAGCGAAACACTGTAACTGTAAATAGATGCTTTTATAGAGTAACTTTCCCAATCCTGCTATTTATACATACATCTATTTTTAGAAAAAAAATTTCTATAATATCATATAAAATCGTTATGCTCGGATTATTTTTATTATCTAACGCAGTATAGATGTTGGATATTTCTTCCCGTAATAAACTGCGCGCCGATTATCTGTCGAGCTTTAAATAGTCTTTCGTTAGAACAGTGAAACAGATATTTAAATCGATTTAACTTTTGATACCGACAAGTATCTTTTTCAAATCGCTGTAAGGAATCTATTGCGAAAACTACCACCCCAGCCAAGGTTCGAGCCTGGGTCTCCCTACAATCCGCGACGGGCGTCTTGACTGATTCAATCTCTGAGTGGTGATATTTATCGCCACTAACCGATAAATAAAGAGTATACAAAATTGACACAGAAATAATATCATTAGGCTACCAAGACGCAGCCCAACTGAAATTGGCGTCGCTTTCAATGAGTCGTAAAATTTAATAAAATCTCTCGGTTAAATTATAAAAATACTGTCACACAGCAATACCTTCGCGCATCACATGGCAAAAAATTTCACTGATAACACGAAAGTTAACTATGTGCCCTGACGCATACCATCTCGAGAACAAAAGTACAAGCATGAAAGAAAATTTGGTACAGCTTTGTCCCCCCGATGAGACTTCACCCTCCACCAGGGCGAATTCATCCACCTATCCACATTAATAATGCGCCCAAGAGGGCCAGTCGTCTCGACTGTGCGATTTTGAACATGTTTTTTGCAACGTCGCCTCGCCACGCCCATAAGGGAGGTGAGTGATAGTAAGTGAGTGAGAGAGAGAGAGAGAGAGAGAGAACTGTCTCACTAAAAAAGTGACGTGTTTGAAAATAATAAAATAATAGAGGCTCTAGAACGCGAAGTGGAAAGAAAGAGAAAGAGCGAGAAAGAGAGGGAGGAAAAGGGAGAAAAAGGAAGCTAATGAGAAAGAGAGAAAGAAAGAGAGAGAGAGAGAGAGAGAGAGAGAGAGAGAGAGAGAGAGAGAGAGAGAGAGAGAGAGAGAGAGAGAGAGAGAGAGA